CAGTGATGCACATGTACTGGCCCAGGACAGGGCAGTGAAATCAAACTCAGGACATTTGCTTGGTTCCTTCTATCCTGCTATCAGCATGTTCTGCAGTGAATTTATCTTGCTTGTAAGTATGTAACTGCAGCAACATTTCAGTCAAATGTTGTTGCATTTATTGTTTGTTCCTATCCTGAATGTACCTGCCTTTTCCAGTGGAGATTAAGCACTGAGGAAAAGAAAAAAAACCAACACCTCAGCTCAGGGAAATGACTGGGTTGCTGAGCTGCCCTGAAATGTTTCAAACAATCCCCTTAAATAGGATAGTCCCAGTTTGTTTATTGGTAGTGTTTTTGTGCTGGTTTTTCAGGGTTGAGGGGGTGTTGTTTGCTTTGGCAGTGGGAGTTTTGTTGTTGTTAGCTTTATTTAAAAAAAAAAAAAAAAAAGTGATTCTGTGGGGTTTTAGCCTGGTTATTTTGGGAGAGAACACACCTCTCATTTGAGTGGAAGAACTAACATATTTTAGAGTATTTCCTTTAGGACCTGAGTACATGAAAAATCCATCCAGCTGGCAGATTAGCAATACTGAGTAATGATACCAGATCAGGCCAGGAGACTTCAGGGGCTTTAACCCTGCCTTTCTTTCAGAAGGAGCAATTGAGAGGAAATATTACGTGGCTAGGCTCACAAGAATACTTTTCCTCCACATGTGCCACTTAGTGTTTCGTGCTGGTGTAATAAGTATCAGTCCTCTGTCAGTAGTGAACAGGGAGAATATGAGGCTCTTGGGGCAGCAGTCTGCCCCTTGCTTGGACCCGTGGATGTCTGTGGAGGTGTTTCCATAGCCTGTTCTGAATGTGTTTTCCACTGGAGCAGAAAGCTATCCTGATGCAAACAGATGCTGGCTATTGGTCTACAGGTCTTACCTATAACTGTACTTTACTGTGCTGCTTAAGGTACTGGACTGCATCCATTTTCAAAATTTCCTTCTAGCTAAACTTAGCCCAGTCTTCCAGCACATGGATTCATATAAAATGGCATCTTTTTCCTTTTTTTTTTTGATTTTTCCAAAAGCTGCTACAGCAAGTGTTCCTTCATGAAGACTCTGCTGCTGCCTCCTCTCCTGAGTGAATTTGGTCTTCTCACTCTGTCTCCTAACTGCATTTGGGGCTCTGTCTGTTGTTAAATTTTCCAGTGTTTCAGATTTTATCACTGCTTTCATTACATTCCAATTTAGAGCATGGAACACATGTGTGAATTGTCATTCAACACTACTTCTATTCTAATGAGTTTCACAGGTTGCAATGGGCAGGAATTTTAGAATATGGAAATACTTTAGGGTAATTTTGCCCTAGATTTGCCTCGGGGCCTGCCTGCAGTTTGAGTTTTCAGCAATACAAGGTCCTAGTGAAATCCTGACAATTAGTTACATGACTGCTTCCTTTGCACAGAGCATTTGTTTTGGCTGCCTGAGTGCTGATGAGCTGTAGACGACAGCAGTAATTCTTTAGAGGCATATAAAAAGCCATGTGCTTGGGCAAGCTCTGTGATGAGTAACTTTTTTGTCCCTTTCTTGGGCAACTTTTCACGCATCAAAGTTCCCCTCTGGAATAGCCTCTCAAATCCGAATCTTTCAGCCACTCTTGCTGTACCAATAGAGTGTTGCCACTCAGCTTTATTTGTCACTGAGTTTAGGTTCCCGCATTAGCGTGGCATTGGTGCTGTTGCGAGGAGCAGGGGATGGGAATTCAGCTCTAGGGAAGGAGGTGCAAACCAGGGCATGGCAGGATGGGGGAAGAGATGCAGAGCATCCCCTGGCACCCTCTGCCTCCCAGGGTATAACCCCGACAGGCTGTGGCTCCGGAGGTACCTGTGTCACCCCAGCACCCCCAGCCCACTGTTCCCGCAGCTCCACAGCATCCCTCTCCTGCCTGCAGCCCCCTTCCCACCCCGCTCGGCTGTCAGCACACACACAGCCCCTCTGAGCACCTCTCAGGGAGCCTGTGCACAGCTGCCCCTCCGGAGAGCCCTCTCTTCGCCAATGGACCAGCAAACCTCTCCCAATTTTCCACCCCCATTCCCTCAGGAGCAGCCGGGGAGCAAACGCGAGCCCAGAGCGCCTGGCACCCCCGTGCTCGGGGTGGGCAGCAAAAAAACATGCAAAAGAAGCAAGAGGAGCTCCGGCAGCATAGCTCACCATTTGTAGCCTCTGCCTTGCTTAAACTTGAGGGTGAGCCCTGTCTCCAGGCACAGGAGAAGATTGAGCAGTGCCAGCAGCCAGTACTTGGGTTCTTTCTTCACCGCAGTCACTCTCCAGACCCCGATGAGAGAGTGCAAAACGAAGAGCAGGCGAGTAACCAGGGCATTGAGCAGCACCATCAGCTCCATCCCGGAGCTCCGCGGGGTCCGGTGCTCCCAGGAGCCTCGGGAAGTTACCCCGGGAGTCACCGGGAATCCTGCGCCCTGCAGGCACACGGATCGCTTCTCTTCCATCTCCACAAAGGGGCCCATTATAACAAAAAAAAAAAGAACAGCATCGCCCCTCCCCCAGACTTCCTGAAAAGTTTTTTAAAGGGAAGAATAAAAAAAAAAAAAAAAAAAAAAAGGCAAGCAGGCTTTCATGCTGCAGTGGTTTGTAAGCTCGCAGCAACCCCAGCACAGCTGGGGAGGGTTGTTTCTGTCCCAGCACAGCTCTGCTGCCCCACTTGCTTCTCTCACCTCAACCACTTCTAGCCAAGAGTCGAAGCGTAAGGCAGGTTCTTCATTTGAAGCTTTTTTGTTGAAAGCTCCACTGCATTACTGAGAGTGGAAACCAAACCCCTCTTTCTGCTCCCCCTGGAAGATAGAATTCATATTTGGGAGCTTTTAAAATCGTTGGTTTAACATTGCAATACAGAAAGCAGAAACTGTATGCTTAGTTCAATACTGGAATCCCTTTTGCAACAGAAGTTAGAAAAGCTAACCTGCACTGAAGTTTAGTCAAACCACTCTACTGTATAATCTACACCCTGCTTCAGGGCTAAGAAACAGCCCTAGTCAGAAATAGGGATGAAATCTGGGCAAACACTAATTTTACTGAATTGGCCAACAGAGACGTATACAAAGCCACAAAGTTTGACTGTTAGGTCAGTTGCCTCTAGACTGACTCTTAGAATCCTCAGTGGGAACGGTTTATAAAGTACAGACTCCATTTAAAAATTGCTTTGATGTTTCTCATAGAGATTATAAATTTTATTTGAATTTACACTTGGGTAACCAAAGAGAAATTTCTCCTTGATCAAAATTGTTACTGTGTTTCTCCAGTTTTGTGTTAATTTACTGCCAAAGTGCTTAAATTGAGATACACCATTGCAAAATACAAATGGAGAATCAAGTCTATGTAACATACTGCGGTGCTTCAAAGGTCCTAACTTCCTAGTTGATTTAATTTAAAAAAGAATCCTATTCTGCTTTAAACACAAGAAGATAATCTAAGAGTTGTGACTTTTGTAAGAAGGTATTTTTTCTCAATTGCTAAGATCTGAGTTTTCCTTGCTGCAAAGCCAAGTCTCTTTCTTTATGGAGTGCTGGTGCTGGCCAGATTTTAGCCTTGGGGGTGGGAGGATAATGGGGAAGAAGACTGCTTGAAAATAGCCCTGCCCAGAAACAAACCAAACCAACCAAACAAACAAACAAAAACCCCAAACAAACAAACAAGCAAACAAACAAACAAAAAACCAAAAAAACACCAAAAAAGGCTATTCCACAGTATGGATTGCTTGGGAAATGCCTGCGTAAATAAATGGACTATTCAGCATGTCTTTTTGGAGCAGCAAAATCCAGCTGCTCATGTTCAGAGGAAAATTAATTTAAGTCAAGGACCTACCACTGATAATCCCCTGCCAACAGCCACCCTGTCATATCATGCCTTGAGTGCTGCTGATTCACAGCCCTTCCGTTGGTGTTAAGGTCAAATCCAGTTGAAGAGGAAACGGGAACAGACAGATTCGAGGGATTGTTTAAACAAGATATTCCTCTGTGGGAGTGCTTAATGTCGAAGAAATGACCTGGGGGAACTGGTATGTCTAATTGTTCATGGGGATCCTAACAGTGCAGATGTCACAAACTTGGAAAGATGATCATCAGTGGGATGTTCCCATGATATCATGGTCAGGAAGGATGTAGTGAGCTCTGCTGATACTTTGTAGTTCTGCATATTAAAGACCCTTTGGAGCTGAACTGCTTAACAAGGTAGTTCCATTAATGAACAATGCAGACTTTACATCACTGAAAGTCCAAAACTTAAATAGGAAGAAGATACAATATTGACTCTGCCTAGCTCACTGGTGGACCATGGTGGCAGCATAACAGCCTGAGCAGAGGGAGGAAGTAAGTACTCATGTATGACTTTAGTTATTTGGTCTGGAAGAGGCAGGTATTGCATCCAGATGTGATAGAGTACATTTTTTAGATGTCTCAATGGCTGTTTTGTGGAGCAGCTGGTTCAGAAGCCCATGAGAGTAGTGCTTGACTTGAATCCTGAGTGGTTTATGGGATACGATGTAGGAGTAAAAGAGCTCCCCTGAAAGGAGGATCCGAATGTGCTTAAATCTGTCATCCTTGTGGGAGGAAGAAGAGCCAGAGTTTTCTACCATTGCTTTGCCCAGCTTCAAAAAGGAAAACTAGACACAGATCAGGAGGCTTGTTGAAAGTAAGACAGATGGAACACCTAACTCGTTGCAGGGCATATGGATATTGCTTCCGTAAATCACATGGGAGGTGCAGAGAAAATAACTGTGTATCAAGAGAAACTTGCGAAAGTGTGACAAGAACCCAACATTGGCAGGGTAAGTGAGATTGCAGGAGCAAGAAGGCATCCTTCAAAAAGCTGAAGTGCTGTCCAGATGAAGAATGCTGAAAAGATGATAAACCCTGGCATGTACAAACATGATAAGGCTGGCTGAAGGACTGCGAGGGACAATTGGCAAAAAACATAATGACTAAATTGTCTCTTATCTGTTCAAACACATCATGAACCAAAAGTCTGCCAGGGAATTGTTGGGTCAGTGCATGGTCAGGTTGCACCTCAGGGGGTGGTATGGCTGTGCAGGAGGAGTCAAGGAGCTCTTTAGAGCCCCAGCATAGGTACAGATGCACACTGTAGCATGGGACAGCACTGATGCCTGCACAAAAGGCTATGGAATTGATTTTTTGTTTGTTTATGACATTATATGTGCTAACGTTCCACTAATTCTTTTATTTTCATAGTTTCTACTGATTTGCAGCTTACAGCTGTCAGGCTAGTTGATCATGGGCTAGGAAGTACTTGGGGAAGAAACTTTTTTCACCTTGTTCATGTACTCTTTCACTGAGCATGGAGTTAGGTGTACTGTTGAATGCAGACAGCAGAACAGATGAACCTTTGTTCTGACATGAAATGACTTCACTAATAGAGACTTTCTGGTCTCTAAAGAAGTTGACTTGAAGTGAGAGAAAGACATACAGCATATATGTCATATATACCTGTGCATATAGCAGGTTGTAGTGTTGGTGTTTGTGCATATAGCAGGTTGTAGTGTTGGTTAGATCCAAGCTGAAAGCAAGACTTATGTCTGCCTGTATAGTGTGTTCTGCTAATGATACAACCTCTTCTCTTTTTTGTCTGGAAACTTTGTGTGCATACTGAGAATTGCCTGTGTCTGGGAACCCTTGAGAGTTACATGCTTCCAGGAGCTGCTGTCCTCTGGAAAATCCTGGACAGACTGATGTGAACGCATGTCATGGTGTGTGGGATTTTCATCCAAGACACCTTGGCAAGACCTACTGCTTGCCTTTTCCATATAACAGCCAATTGCAGCACGTTTGATGCATTTAGGAAGTGTTAAACCTTACTGTCCTCTCAACACCAGTGACCTTTCTGCAGGAATAGGAAATCTGGCACTTCAAAAACTGTGCCACAGGATTTCTGCAGATGCATTTGTCTAGTTTCTGCCTTTAGGCTGGATTACTATGCTGATTTCACTAAGCAGATCCCATAACTGTCAGAAATGTGAAGTGGCACCAGTTTGCAAGAAAGAACTAGAGTTGGAGGTGGATCACAAGCTGAACAAAGGTCAGCAGTGCCACACTGCTGTTAAATGAAGGGGTCACATCAGCATGTATATACTGAGCTGACATTTGCCAAGTGTCCATCTCCTCCACTTGAGAAGGTCTTAGCTGAAGTGCTGTCCTATTTGGGGTCAGTGAGGGAGGAACTGCTGGAGAAGTACAGGAGTGTTACTATAGGAGGAAATTAATAAGTTGCATAAACAAATGGATCATTTTTTAGATAGTGCAAGTAACATCCTTATTAGGTCATAGTTCTTATAGAATCAAAAGCACCTGGAGGACTCCACTTTGGACTGGAGTGCAGAGGTTTGGAAATCCCATGAGGAGGAATACCAGAACAAAAATTCTATGAGTTTTGGTGATCATGTGCAGTGGATTGTTTTGTTTTTTTCTTTAAGAAGGAGCTCTGAACAAAGGAGGCTATCTCAGACTTTACTTCTATTGCTTACTTAAAAACTGGGATGTTTTTGGCAGTGAAATTTGGGAGTAGTGTCTTCTTCGGTTCAAGAGACTTTGAAGTTTTGATTTATAATATTAATAAAGAAATAATTAAAGGGTATTAAGCTGAAAGAGACTGCAGATGAGAAAGGGTCATAAATTAGCAATGTTCTGCTGTGAAGGAGGCACACTGGGATGTATAAACAGACCTGGAATGTGCCAGATTTCAGTTATTTCTTCTGCATTCCTTGATGCTGGGAAATACCTCAGGTAAACTACCCAAACTCAGATGATGCTTTTCAAAAAGAGAGCTAACAGGATAGAGTGTCCAGAGATGGACAAGACTGCTGAGTTAAGAATAAGGGGGTACTGTGATTCAGTCTAGAGAAAAGAGAGGAGAGATGGAATTGGCCAAGTGTTCAGGAAGCTGTTGCAGAGAGGCCAGGAACAGCCTGTTTTCCAGTCCCAAAGCAGAGAGAAGGAAGTAAAAGGCTTAAATAGAAAAAAAATTGCAATTAGATGTTTGGGGACATATATTGCTAGGAAAGACAGCGAAGCACTGAAATGGGTTGTGATGTCCATTGTTGCAGACTTTTAAGCACAGATTAGGGAAACATCTGTCAAAGATGACAGCAGTTTAGCTGATCACTGTGGGGCAGAAGGCTGACTAGATCATCTCTGGAGGTTTTTCCAAGTCTCACCTCCTAGGGCTCTAAGGTTTATTTCTTTATTACCCAGTCATTGTATTGAGTCTCTGAGGAAGTTTCCTGCTTAAATTAAATCTGTTTAATTTTGCTTCCAATATGGTTCTTAAAGCAGAGGAAACTGTTCTGTTTTCTCAATGCTTGACTGCAAACGGTGAA